CTCAAGATCACTGAATTCGGATATCATTAAGACCTTCAAATGTCTGATAAACGGTCCATGATCAAGGGATTCAATATTAGTCATCCATCCAAACCACTCTATATTTGCCCTTGATCCTCCTCCTTTTTACGGGTCATGCCATCCTCAGAAAATTATAAATAGCTCCTCATTTCTCTTAAGTGGGGACCTAAGTAAGAGGGAAGGAAGAAAAAGAGAAGAGAAGAATGGAAGAAACTCCTCCTCGACCATCGTCCGAGTTCTGCCCGTTTTTCAAGTGACGCCGGAGTTTCAACCGACTTTCAAGTGATGCCGGAGTTCCACCTGACTTTTAAGTGATGCCGGAGTTCCGCCGGACTTTCAAGTGACGTCGGAGTTCCACCCGACTTTTAAGTGACGCCGAAGTTCCGCCTGACTTTCAAGTGACGCCGAAGTTTCGCCAGACTTTCAAATGACGTTCGAGTTCTGTCTGATATCCAAGTGACGCTGGAATTCTACCTGATCTCCTAGTGACTTTGGGATTCAGCCCGAATACCCAACATCGTTGAAATATCAAATTATTGTTTATAACTGAATTTCAATCTGGGAGTGGATTATTGTAATATGAACGACCTAAATTTTAAAGGCGAGTCAGTCTCTTGTACCTCAAGCAAATACTAGTGAAATTCTTTCGATTGGGCGTGGCCCCGTGGTTTTTCCTTTTTAGAGTTTTCCACAAATCCTGATGTTCTTTCATCTTCTATTTGTGTGATGGATATTCGTACAATGCTGAGAAGAAAACTTTGTAACTCTATCGCCGCGTATATTATAACCTGCAACAGTTTTGGTGGAGATGTAGAATATATTCGAGCCCAGACAGTTGCCGAATGTCAACCCAAAATCTAAGTGATTCCGGAATTCTATCCGATCTCCACGTGACTTTGGAATTCAACCCAAATACCCAACATCATTGAATCTCAAATTATTATTTATAACATAATTTCAACCAGGGAGTGGATTATTGTATTCTGATCATCCAAAATTGTAAGGACGAGTCGGCCTCTTGTACCTCAAGCAAATACTAGTGGAATTCTTTTAATTGGGCGTGACCCCATGGTTTTTTCCTTTCTAGGGTTTTCCATTTAAAATCCTGGTGTTCTTTCATCTTCTGTTTGTGTGCTGGATATCCATGCAACATTGAGACTAAAACTTTCTAAATCTATCGTCACGTAACACGTATATTCTAGCCCGTAATAGTTTGGCACCGTCTGTGGGAAACACTATCCCATAATTCTAAGTTTTGCTTCAATGGCCATTAGGCGTAGCAATCATATCTTGGGAGCTTCTCGCTCGAACTCCTACCAATTCAAGAATTAGTCTATGGATCATGGACACCCAGTATCTCCCTCTTTTTATCTTGGGGGCAAAATATTAGAGAAGGAACCTCATGACGGTCCCTAGAGGAATGAATTTGAAATATGAAAGAATCTTAGAATGAGATCCTTCAACTTCTGCGAGAGACTCGGTAACCGATGCTAGCACCAAATGAGGATATTTTTCTCCCTTGAGATCCACCACTAGTAGAAAGTATTCAACTCGAACATCTTTAAATAGAGATCCCTTTTCCTCCACCAAGGAGGTATATGCAATCACAGTAAGGCAATGAACTTGCTGACACAACAAGTTTTACCCATCCTTCGCATATAGGTCGGCAACCTCACATTTCTTCAGACCTTCTAGAAGACTTAGCCCAACTGCACATTACTGAGCACCCTTACAACACCCTACGTCATGAATTGCAAAGATTGGTATGCAAAGAGTTCCTCGTAGGAGGTATATGTCAACCTCTTCGTCAGTGGGACTTCAAGAGTCATTGCCCTTAACTGAAGCCTTTCTTCATCACCCCATTCCAGCAGGATTCAAACTTCCGAGCATCGATTCCTACGATGAGACATCTGACTCGTACGAGCATATTAATCATTATAGAACTATCATACATATCCAGCGAGCCTCAGATGCCCTTATCTGCCAGGTTTTTCTTGCCACCCTCAAAGGACAAGCTCGAACATGGTTCTATTCACTTCCAACTGGAACGATCCCTACTATCATCAAATTGACCAAAGTGCTTGCCGAGCAATTTGTTGCCAATCGAAGAATTTCTAAGGATTCTTCTCATCTATCTAGGATCCATCAAAATGAAGGAGAATCATTGAAGGAGTATTTTCAGCAAATTTCTACTGAGGCTCGGCAAATTTCAGGAGTAGACCTTGAATTATTGAGAGGAGTCTGTCTTGGAGGCCTCCATCATGGCCCCTTCTATTTAGCACTCATGCGAGATACAGTTCATTCATATGCCGACTTGATCCATAGCATGAAGGAACAGATTCCTGCAGATGAAGCCATACATGCTCATTAAAAATAGTTTGAGCAAACAAATGAAAAATACAAAAATGCACCTAGGATGGATAATTCGTTCTCATAACGAAAGAAATAAGGAAATAATAATATACCTCCTAAGCCTTCGTTTCCACGACACGAGTTTCGATAAAAAAAGAGTAAACACCTCTCAACACATCTCAAACCAATGTATTGATGGCCATTCATGATAAAAAAAATATCAAGTGGCCTAATCCTTTGAAGCAAAATATAGAAAATTATGATTAATACTGTTATTTCCATCGTAGTCGTGGGCACACCATTGAAGCTTATAAGCCGCTCAAAAATGAAATTGAGAAACTTATCCGACAAGGCTACTCTCACCAATTTATTTAAGATTCACCTACTCGAGATGATACTCGTTTCACTGGGGGACAAAATCAATAATAAGAAAGACAATAATTGAATAATATTCAATTAGTTAGTGAGATTAAATAACCATGCAAAGTGAGCCTTTATGTTAGTTACTTGTTATATGTCATCGTGTATCTCTTCTATGATATGTAGGGTGTCACTCTAATGTCTCTAGTATTTTCTTCCAAGTTAAATAATGTGTTGTCCCTATATGTATCTCTTATATGCTAACTATGATGCAACTCTTATATCTCTAAATCATACTAGGGACTTATTTTATTATCTTATATGACATAGTAACGTGTTGTTCACTTCATTTTAATATTATCACATTCTTTAAAAATGATAAAAAAATGATAATAAAAAACTACCGATGAATATAATATATTTATCCATGATTTGAGAAATACATAATCTTTATTATGTCTCAATCACTGGATGATCATTCCCAGGGGGATTTGATCCGACCTTTTCTATATAGGTTAACGTCATCGAGCAGTGCTCTGACATACAACCTCGATCGGATAGGTCATACATCCTTGGTGGCTTCTCTCCACCTCTTTTATATATGTTAATGTCATCGAGTAGTTCTCTGATATACAATCTTGGATAGGTCATACATCTTTGATGGATTCTCTCGATCTCTTATATAGGTTAATATCATCGAGTACTGCTCTGACATAAAATCTCGGATAGGTTATACATCATTGGTGGATTCTCTCGACCTCTTCCACATAGGTTAACATCATCGAGCAGTGCTCTGACATACAACCTCGGATAGAATATACATCCTTGGTGAATTCTCTTGACCTCATTCATATAGGTTAACTTCATAGAGCAGTTCTCTAATATATAATTTTGAATAGATCATACATCTTTGGTGTATTATCTCGACCTCTCCCATATAGGTTAACATCATCGAGCATGTCTCTAACATACAATCTCGGATAGGTCATACATCCCTTGTGGATTCCCTAGACCTCATCCATATAAGTTAATGTCATCGAGCAGGGCTCTGACATACATTCTCGAATAGATCATACATCCTTAGTAGATTCTCATGATTAAAAGATTTTATGAAAATGATTGATTAAATCATTACTCATATAAACACCTTAGTAGTTTAACAATGCCTCCAAAATATGGGAGACAATATATCAAAACATATTTCAAAGATGCATAAATAATTTAACTTCCTCTAAGGGACAAGTTCCTAACTTCATGTACAATGAAGTTACATAAATTCAACATCAAGATTCAAATGTACATATATTCTTACTAGAGTTGAAATCAAAAAGTACATTTTCATCATTCATACAAGGATATATGATGTTGGCACACTTCCGTATGGATGCATATTACCTTTGTAAAATGCCATTGAATTCCCGCCATCATCGACCCCGTGGTTTTTCCCTTCCAGGGTTTTCCACGTAAAAATCCTGATGTTCTTTCATGTTCTATTTGTGTGCTGGATATCCGTACAACACTGAGACAAAAACTTTCTAATTTATTGGCGCGTATATTCTATCCCATAATAGTTTTGGTGGAGATGCAGAATATATTCAAGCCCGGATAGTCGCCAGAGTTCCGCCTGATATCCAAATGGCGTCAAAATTGTGTCTGATTTCCAAGTGACTTTGGGATTCAGCCTGAATACACAACATCGTCGAATCTCAAATTATTTTTTGTAACTGAATTTCAATCTGGGAGTGGATTATTGTTATATGATCATCCTAAATTTTAAGGACAAGCCTGCCGCTTGTACCTCAAGCAACATTAGTGGAATTCTTTCAATTGGGCGTGACCCTATGTTTTTTTTCTTTCCAAGATTTTTCACTTAAAATCTTGTTGTTCTTTCATATTCTGTTTATGTGCTGGATATCCGTACAACGCTGAGACGAAAACTTTCTAACTCTATTGCCGCGTATATTTTAGCCGCAACAATACTTATTCAAAATAAGCATGATGATAACTTTGTGATAATCTTATTTTTATCACAAATGCAAAGTAATAAAATTCTTCAATTACTTAATAAAGGAAATAATATAGTATTATTATAATGAGTAATATTTATGCAATTTTTATATATTTATATTTAATTATTTAATATTTGAATATTTAAATCAGAAGGGGTTTTTTTTTTTTGGCATCGACGAAGTATTTTATGGCTATTTATTTTGGTGCGGAAATTTGAAAGGTGAGGAAGCGAGTTTTTTGGGATCAGCTAATCTTTGATGAGTCGATTGTTGGATTTGGTATATTGTTCTCTAATTCTTTCTCTCAGAGTTTCGTGGTGAGACAGTCTGTTTGTTTGCTTGATTAGGTTATTCATGTGGATTCCAGCTTCAAAATTGACCTCTTTGGGCAGGGGGTAGATCGAAATTTTGGCTTTCTGCTCTTCCCATGGTTTTTATTCTGCGGACCGGTTCTTATTGCTAATCGACAATTGGAAAATGGAGTTTGCATATGTTTTTTTTTTCCGGATGGAAATCCGATTAGAGCTTGTTTCTGCTTTTGTTTTCGTTCTTTTATTGATGTTATTGGCTTGATAGCTTCGTTTATTGTGTAGGGGGGTTAAAGGCGCCATCTTGGATTAATTTGTTTCTGTTATGGATTGGATTTAGCTGGATTAAGTTTTGGCGTTGGGCAGTGGTTTGTTGTTTTGATTTAGGGCTTGTAATTGAGCTTTGATTTTCTCTTGGGGTTTGGTTTTGGTTTTCCTGGAACTCGATTTTTTTATCCCTTACGAATTCAGACAATGCTGTAATCTATTTTCTTGGGTTAATACTTGATAATTTCAGGCTTTTGAATTGTTGCAATTTTGGGTCTTATGGTTGGCAATTTTTTTTTTATTTCTTTTCAACATATAAAATATCAATTCATGAATTGAATTTCCAAGAAATAATTCATTTGGAAGATGAGTTTGGTTTTACTGTGAGCTACTTGAACTTTGCAATAAGCGCCAATTTGAATTTTGAATGAAGTATAATTCTTCGTTGTTCAGATTTATTTGATTGTAAACATGTTTTTTGAGCAGGATAGTGAGGATATATTGTTACATCTTCAAAGTTTGGCTTCAACAATTATGTTAAAATCGTTTATTGAAACATATATAGGATTCGGTAGTTGCTATTTCTTATTTTGATGTGGAGGTGGCATCCTATATGCGTTTATGAGAACATAATTTTTTAATGTTGTGCAGGGAGGGTTTTGAAGATTAGGAAAGTGGTCTATTGCTTTTCTATGTAACCAGATTTTCCAAGTTATTGACAAACTTGGATGGCTGCTGGTTCCTCACTTGAAGAGCAGTGTGAAAGCCAGACAGATAGATATCCATTGCTGATGGAGCGGCCAGTTAATGACAATGCAGATGAGCATGTAATAGATGTAGTGAGAGGTTCTGCTTCTTCAACATCAGTGGTTCATGGAAATGGGCACAATGAAGATAGATCTTCGACAAGCACAAATGCTTTTGCCCCTCAGTCATCAACTTCTCAGACTGCGTCAAATTCTAGAAATGCTTCTTTCAATAGGGGAATTGATAATTATGGTCGGCGCAATAGAAGTCCTTTGAATTCTGGTTTATGGATCTCAATTGAGCTTATTGTCAATCTTAGCCAGATCATCGCAGCTGTTGTTGTTCTCTCTTTTTCAAGACACGAGAACCCACAAACTCCATTATTTGCATGGGTCATAGGTTATACAGTAGGATGTGTTGCTACTCTTCCACATCTTTATTGGCGGTACATTAATCGCAATAGATTGGCAACCGAGCAAGATGCAACAAACTCGTTTCGGAATATTTCTCAAAATAATGCACCCGAGTCGAATTCTTATACTGCGATTTCAGTTGCACATGCTGTAGAAGCAGAAAGTGGCCACGGCTCCGGCGGGGCCTTGCAACTTAGACGTAATACTATTAGAGCTGCTCAAAGGTATTGCGTTCATTTCAATGAAGTAATGAGAATGAATTTGCATTAGCTGTTCTATTTTCAAATCTACCATCAGCTCTAAATGACATTCTGATGACTTGGCCTTTGGGGTTGGGGGTGGATGGGGATTAATGGAACGTGTTTGTTATGTTTTTGCATTCCAGAAGTTGTCTTATTCTGATTGGAGCATCTTGAATGAGTACATCTCTTGCTGCAGGCTACTTGCTTCACTTAAAAACAAATATGGTTAGAAATTGGCTATATGGATTTACCCTGTGAGAGCACTCTCACAAACAAACAGGGTAAACAATTGTGTTTAGGAATTTTACCCTATGAGGGCACTCTGTTTTTAAGTGAAGTGTGGTAAATCAAAAGGTTTTAGGATAATTTGAGCTTAGTTTTAGTAGTGTAGTATTTATAGGAGTCCGTCAAGTATACTTCGATAATATGCATTTCAAAACTAGGATCTATTATCTTTGAAAATCAAGTTGGATTGATATACCCTTACATAAGGTCACTTAGGCAATTTGTTAGATTGAGTATGTGGTGCCACACTAGCAATGTCATGAACCATCTTGTTTATGCTTTAGAGTTGTTGGAGGAATGTATTTAGATTTGGAGGCTCTGTGGTAGCTGCTGTGAATGATTTGAGTAATTTATTGTGTTTCATGCAATCATTTTGGTGATGATGCTTACATTAAGATCTATGCTGTTTGGTCAAACCATCATATGGTGGTTATTGTGGATGCTGGAATGGATTAGCATGACATAAAACAAGGTTCAATCATCATGTTTCAAAATGATTTATAGATGGATTGAATCCACATGGACCACACCTGATTGTATAAATCTTGCCTGTGCTTAAATCTTCTTGTAAAGTTTGGGGAAATCAATTATTCTGAGTGTCTTAAGGAACATTGCTTGTGATCCTTAATGCCTGATGATAAGTCTAGCTTGTAGTTGCGAACGATTAAACAATCACAAGCAATGGGCATTTTTTTTTGGGATGTATGAATTTTATTAGATTTATTAGATATATTCAATCAAATTCAGCCCGGAAGGAGTTTTGTTTACTTTTCAATGCATCCATTGATCTAAAAATCCATACATCTTGGGGTAGGAAATGAGTGTGTTTATTTTGGCATGGGTGATGGGTTGCTTTTGGAAAATTCCTTTCCTACTGATCTGAAATATGACTTCTTTGTTTAATCTAGAATGTGAATCCATTTATTCTGATGCTAATCCTGCATCTCTGCTCCACAAAGTGTTCATGCAAAACATTCCTATAATATTGGAATATCATTAATTCAACCAAGATTTTATCGAAGAATGACTCAAAATATTGACACTGCTACGGCAAGCCTTGTTTTGGAACCTAAGATGAAGTGCTTATTAATATTATGTCTTTCTTTAAAGATAAATTGTATGCTGCGTGCCACATCTTGAAGTAGGGCTGACTTTTCATGCTTAATGTAGAATACATGATAATCTTAAGATGGATATATGGTGAAGTTATAAATGATAAGATGTTAAATCAACTTTTTGATTATGTGTAGTTATATGCATGGTGAATAAAACAATAGGTGAAATTAAGAGAAAAAAGAAACATGCGTGTTAGGTTACTCAAGTGTGTGAAACAGCTAAGCCAAGTAAATGTGTATTTCAAAGATAACATATATAGAATTCACAAAGAATTCTAGATCTATTAGTTAACACTAAATATTGATTTGAGCACTAGTGAAGTGGTCGTAGAAGATCTATAGGCTGAACTTACAATAATTGGGGTTATGATTATAACCCCAAATACTGCCATAATTTTGAAGTGTTGATTAAATGATTTATTGCTTATATTACAATCAAAACTCGTTTGTTATTAAGTTTTGATACAACAACAACAACATCAAGTCCTTATCCCACTACGTGAGGTCGGCTATATGAAACCTTTTTCTACATTGTATCGTATTAAGAGTCAATTCTCATTTAAATCTAATAAAAAAGGTTATTTCTATTATTTTCTAACCAAGTCTTTTTAGGTCTACCTAGAACTTTCTTAACATAAGCCAAATCTAATACGTATACTCTTCTAACCGGGTCATCGGAAGGCTTATTTTTTATGTGACCAAACCATATAAGGCGACTCTCTCTAATCTTATCTCCTGCTGGAGCTAGTCCAACCTTTTAATGCATATGCTCATTTCACATTCTATATCTAAGAGTAAAGCCACCCATCCGTCTAAGCATCCTCATCTCTGCAAAACTTATGGCCAACATTTTACGCCATAAAACATTGCAGGTCTCACCACCATCTTATAGAGTTTTCCTTGTAGTTTGAGGGGTACTTTTCTATCACACAAAATGCCCGATGCATTCCTCCAGTTCAACCATCCAACTTGAATCCTACTAATAATAACCCTATCTATTTTACCATTACTCTAGACAATAGACTCGAGATATCTAAAATGTGTACTCTTGTCTCTTGTTAATGACTTGATCGCTCAAAGCCACAATACACCCACTAGATCTATTACTAATAAAATTACACTTTATGCATTCAGTTTTAAATCTACTCAAATGAAAACCTTTAGACTCTAAGGTTGACCTCCATAATTCAAGTTTACCTTTAGCTCCCTTTCTAGTTTTATCAACAAGAAGAATATCATCAGCAAAAAACATACACCAAGGTACATACTCTTGCAAACGTCTAGTTCGAAAATTCAGGATTAAGGCAAAAAGATATGGGCTTAAAACTGATAAAGATAATAAATTCATGAAGCTTAACCTAACAATTGCGCCCATTTCTACCGTTGCCTCCAATGTTGATGCTTAAATAGCCATATGATGGTGATAAAATAATTGTTATTATAATATAACATATTCTATTATTTATTCTTCGCATTCCAAACTCAGTTAGTCGCAAATTTATCTTATGTGAGGAGAGGCTCCTTGACCACTTTATAAAAAAATTTACTTTTAGATCGAAAGGGCTTATTAAATATAAATTCATTTGATTAATAATTATTCTTAAGTGAAAGTTGAAGTCAATTTTGCAAATATTGGCAGCTAGTTATAATTTGGTTATTTTTTGAAGAGTATTTACAGGTTGTAATGGAAAACATCTCTCTAAAATAAAATTGGATGGTGATTTAGTTATCAAACACACATCCATTGTTTGCATCTTATTTTTCTATGTTTTATAGTCCTGTAACTATTGAGACACATAAGGTGAATTTTTCAACAAAGTTTGATTTTAGTTCAAAATGGTGAATATATAGAATCAAAATATTTATTGTTGAGATTAACCTTTAAAATACTTGTATTGCTACTTCTTGCATCTCCATTTGCTCGAGCCTCAAAGTTGAATATCCTTGACATGAAGTTGAACGGTGAATGTCAGCGTTAAATATCAGCTTAATAAATTAGAATATGGCTTTTCGCCCTTCATTCTTCTTATTAATGGTTAAGGAGCCTAGGATGGATAGGACAAGATAAGCTACTTCATGCCTCTTCTTTCGGTCGTGCCTCATTGTTGAAGGCATTTGATGTGAGTCAAAAGATGAAAGGAATCATTAGCTATCAGCTTAGAAAGCTGGAATACGGCTAGGCTAAGCCTTTCTTTTGTTATTAATGGTTAACGAGGCTAGGATGGTTAAAATAACAGAAGACAATGCTTTCTAGAAGAAAACCTCCAATGGAAACCTAAAAGAACATGTCTAAGACCAGGTAAAATGAATAGGTTGATCATCTATCTTTTGCTGGAATAATGATTCTGTTAATTGGTGATTTTTACAATGACATCAAATTCTAAATTGTAGTTTTTTTTTTTTTTTAAATTTTATACTGAGAGCCCTCTACTCATCTGTTGCTTCCAGTTTATTTTTTTATGTTGCCTTTGATAGGAATCTTTGCCTTTGGGCTTTAACAAAGCCTTCTTTTTTGTTACTCAATTTGATATTCATTTCTTATATGTTTAAATCTATTTTGATATGTCATATACTCATATATTAATATATTTCATTTTTAGTTAGAATTCAATTTCCTCCCCCTATCCCCTCCAAACATTTAAATACGGCCTTGCATTCTTAATTCAGTGAGATTATGGGTAATCTGATTAATTATGTGAGTTCTTTAAATTGCTTGAATCAAAAGAAGATTGAGCTTTCGTGGCAGCTAATCTGCTGTCGCACCCTATTAAAAGAGAAGATTGAATCTCACGAATAGATTGCATGGTATATGGAGGTATTCTATGAGGTATCTCTTGAGTCGTTATGTTATAGGCTAATGTGAGAGTTCCAATTGGAAGGGTGAGCAATGAATCCTAAAATGTTCAGCTTCAAACTTGCGACATGATGGAACAATTTTCTTCGACCACTGGGTTACTCTCCAGATAAAGTCACGCTTAAAATGTAATTTTTTGAATTTTTTTTGTTCAAAGCTGGTGTGGATATTATCCCACTCTCTTTAATACATCCTCATAAGTTGTGGATGTGAGGAGCAAAAACAATCGCATTGTGGGTGTGAATTTACCTGGAGAATGTAAGCATTTCTATTGTTTATAACTTGATCTATGTGGAAATATTCTAAGAGAGGAGTGACTAGTTGCTCAATATAATATTGGCTAATGTAAGTGTTTTTTTTCCCGAGGGGTATTATTAAACATTTAAACTTATTGATAAGGAAGGGAAAGTGACTAGTGGATTTATGTTAAGGGTTTTGACGAAGGGGTATTGACTTATTAGGTAGGATATCTGATAATGGAAGGAGATTATATCAACATGATACATATATCATCCTCATAAATGGGGTATCATTTCGTATGTCTTTCCTTATTGTATCCTCCTGTATGGCTAATTATAAGCCAAAAATATTTAGTCAAAATACACGCAAATTCTTTTTTTTCTTTCAAAATAGTACTAAAGCAGTAAAATCTTAGTCATCCTCCTAATTTTTCCCGTATGAAACTTCCGGTCCGCCTTGCCCCTACTTGTTTGTGTTCGTTCATCTTG